GAGGCAAAATGGTAGTGTCACCAGCCTCTTTGCCCTTTTCCAGGTAATCACGAATCAGCAGGCATGTTGCGCCACTGGCTTCAAGCAGCTGCTTTCTTGCAACAAATGGTGCTTTAAGGACACACTGCAACTGAGCCTCCTGCTTACTAGCACCAGGGTGATGAGATACACGGTAACCATACAAAGTGACAGTCGCCTGCATCGTCGGCAGCGCTTCATGTAGCATACTTTTGAACATCATGATTGGCGATTCTTTGATCTTGTCAAAATCGCTCTTGCTGACCAATCGCGAATCAATCTCTAGCACGAGTTCAGCAATTGCTGGTGTTGTCATCTTGTACTTTGCTTCTGGAAGTTGAAAGCGGATTTTGCCAGCAAACACAATCATATGGACAAGCCTCTTATAGGCAATCTTGGCAGTAGGATCAAAAAGTGACACTTCGAAAGGTCCTTCGAGCCGACTTGTGAGATGCGAAAGCTCAAGCGAATCTGTTGCAGGAATCAACGCTACCAACTCTGTGGTGATGCCAATTTTAGAGATCTCTTGCAAATGAGTCTTGGTAGTGAGGACAACCCCACTTTTGCATGGTCCAAGTTGCAATCGGTGCGTTTGACACAGGGGTTGATCAGCTTGATTGACGAACGGCAATGGTGCCTGCAGGGTCAAATCCTCCCACTTCGACTGTTGTGGGCGCGGTGGTCGCTTGGCCCACGGGTCATTGACCAACCAAGGGTCGGACCTGATTGAGAAGCAGTGCTACCTCCTTTGCCAGAAGCCTCGGCCGGCTTGCTCTGAGTGCCCTCAGCAGGTGCCATGTTAGCATCAACCGCACCGGCAGCAATGTAATGAACTGGAAAGCGGTTCTCAATGACCCTGACGATAAACCAGCATCGCAAATTGTTGGCAAATTCAATCAGCTCATCACACGCTCCTGATTGCCGCCACACCAAACCAGCTTCATTGCGAGTCTCGTGAATTTCTGCCACAAAGCGAGAAATGCTGAGGCCACGAAATTGGGCATCTCCGAGTGGGCCTACCTGCAACATCAGTCGATGAAACAGCTGATTCAATAGATGATATCCACACATGTCAGGAGGTGCATCCTGATCAACATAGTCGACTGTAAGCTCATTCAAGTCTGTCTCAGCTGCTGCAACTGCAAACATCAACAGCGGGTGAAGCTGCTGACGGTCAGCATGTGGGACAGTGAAATAGACCGCAGTGTGGTCAGTGAGAGCATAGAGCTCAAGTTGCACCCAGTGGTTGCCAGTGGCAACCAGCCACACAATGTGCCGGTGAGCTCGCAAATCAGGAATGATGTCATTGAGGTAATGCAGCATGTTCTGAGCAGGTTGCCAGATCGCTGGTGCACAGAACAAGGTGGCCGGATGATGTGGACGGAGCAAATCCAATGCAAAATCCATCTCATCTGAACCTGTCCAGCCTTGGAATCGATGAAAATGGTCAAACCTGGCATGAATTGCCGCATCAGCTCGATTCTGCGGATTGGGATCCTCCGGCACCGTTGTGATCACAACTTGATGTGGCGCAGGAAAGGCCGTCACAAGCCCTGTCTGCTGGTTGGGGAGACCTTGATGTTCACTTCGAGCAACATGCCACAGAAAATTGCGGCGCAGCCGCAAGGCAATGACAGCAACATCTTGATCCATCCTTGCACTTCTCCAATCCTCGACAGAAGACTGCAGGCACATTTCGATGACATCAGCATAATTCTGCGGCAATGGATACTGGGTGGAGATGTCCTGCAGCTGGTGCTGTAGATTCAATCGTGTGAGCCATCGATACACCAGCATCCACCCACACAAATGCTGTGGCGCCTGCTGCTGCCCAACTTGCACATCCAGCCGATGGGGAGCAATGTCCAAAATCCTCGCCACAATGAAAGTCAGAGCTGACTGCTGTTCTGGTGGAACTTGCAGCAGGGTAAGCTGAGTCACATCCTCTTGACGAAGAACTTCCACAGCGATCCAATGGTTGCCCATGAGAATAGGCAATATTGTCATGAGGTTGTTGGCGATGTTGATCTCTGCTCGTACATCATCAAAGTCAGAGGCACTTGGGTCCCACATGAGGGGCTGCGTGAATCGAACCTGATGCTGACTCCACTGGATCCATTGCGTGACGGCTGCCATCTCGTCGGTTGCCATCCAACCAAGAGTATTGCACATAAATTCAGCACGATCATGAAATGGTGCGCCGGCATCCAAAGTTGGCCTTGGGCCAGGTGAAGCGTGATGCCCCCCTGCCGCAATGAGAACTGGTTGCAATACTATCACATCATCCTTTGTGCAGCTTGCAAAGCTTTCAACACAGAGTGCAGTATTGATTGTGTTCACTGCATACTTGGCGTGCGATACCTCAAACTCAGCATCAATCGGGAACGTCACAGGAAGGGATGCAAGTCTGCTTTCTTGAGTATCTTCACAGTGCAAAATGACCTGGACTTCCTGCTCGCCACAACAAATGTCAGCACAGATCACAAACGACGTTGCAATACCTCCAAGCGTGCAGGTCCGGGCAAGACGACATTCTGGATGAGCTTGTTGAACTCGCTGGATGAGTGACATGATCTGTCCACTTGGTCCAAAGACCTGAACATCACAACTGTAATCCCCGTGCAGAAAAATCACTGACACATTGTTCCGATGGTCATCGTTAATGACAGCTGCTTGGCATAGCAGGTCACGAACCCACGAAATTTCAACTGCTCGATCAAACTCCGTGGCGGGGCCAATGCAGAATGGGAGTCGAATTGTTGAGTCAATGCTGGAAGCTCTGGCATCATCGATGACCTTAGTACGAGGCGCAACATGGCATCTTCCGATCGAGATGCCGGCGATGGTGACTTCCCACCCTTCTGGGACATGGGTGAGGGCTCGAATCGGTGTATGCGAATGCGGCTTTTCATCAGGAGCACGAAATGAGACCTGGGCAAGGAGATCACTCGGGCCGGCAAACACCTGACACACAGCATCATGGCATGTGACATGGTCAGAGACAAAGCATTCGAAGTGAAGCTCATGAATGTGACCACTCACAAGAAGAACATTCCGATCAGGGTCATGCTCTACTGGAGGCCGAAGCGAAATCCACTGCAAAAGCTGAGTCGCACGGACCAAATGAATGAAGTCCCCACTCACAAACAGAACAGCATTCCTCGTGGTCAATCGCAAAGCCCAGGCTTGTCGAACCGCTTGGAGGGGATCAACCTGGGCCTGACCAACAGAGTGCAGGGCAACCGCAATGGCAAGGATGGCATGCGGTGTTGCAATAGCATTCCCAACACCCCGAAAGGCAAGCTGGAGCTTTGTGGAAAAAGTACAGTCATTCACCGCCCCAAAAAGTCCACAGAATCGAGCGGGGTCAAAGAACGCAAACCCAGCACTGGTGTGATTGAGGAAGGTGTACAACCCACGTGACTGCACATGTTGTACAGCCAGGGTGTGCTGCGACGTGTATGCAGCGCACAAAGTTGGCAATGGGTGCGAAGTGGATGGCACGCGTAACACCTGGTTAACCCCTGGTTTGTCCCCAAAGGCCTTCTTCCCCGGAAAGAGAGCTGGGTCATTATACACAGCACACTCAGATTCAGACAGGACCATTTGGCTTGCCCACACCGAAGGGATGCGGAACTGGTAGCACGGTTCACACCATGGAGTGCGAGGAATGGATTTGAGGGCAAATGAGAAACCCACAAAGCATGGATTCATGTCGGCACGGGCCCATGTCGAAAGCCATCGAGTGCGGTAGTGATCGGACAGCTCATGAAGTGATGTGACCTGCGTCCAGGTTTTCTTAAAACCACAAGCAGCAAAAAGCACTTCCAAAATGCTAAAGTGCTGGTGTGTTGTGATTTCATCACTACACTCTCCAGCAATGAGGAGAGGCTGAGCGACAGCCAGCAGTTCAATAGCCTCGAGGAAGGCAATGCCATTTGAATCATTCAATCCAGCTTTGCGCCCTGCTTTGGACCAGCTTTGACATGGTGGTGATAATGTACCACACACATTGGATTGCATGCGACAAACATTGAGCACCGTCCAGTCATCAACGCTTCCCAAAATACCAACCTGCTGAGAGTGTGGCCATGGGGTCGCAGCATCTATGGGACAGCAATGCACCTTGGCATGGGTCCGGAGGCTCCATAGCTTCATCACTTCTTCATCATAATCCACCGAAATCTCCTGTCCAACTGTAATGTCCTTCTCAATCTTGTCAAGCGCAGCTGTGGCATGCGTCCAACCTGAGAAGGAACCTGCAAACAGGTGTACAAAGTTCCATGGCATGTACTGCTCATACTCAGGTCGGAAACAAATTGTAGCACCGGCAGCAAATACAATGCAGGAATGATCCCAACACGTCGCTTCTCCAGCACATGTCACATGAACTCCTGCAGACAACTTGATGGAGCGCGAAGCAAGCTCCGGCATAGTGATCCTCATTGTCGAACGTTCCTCTCCTGGAGCCACAAATCCAGCAAAGGGGACAAAAGGGAACACCTCAATGTCCAGCATATCATCCTTGACGGAGATGACTTCGCCACTCACCACAACCTTTCCTCCCAAATGCAGCATAGGGCCAGCAGTGGAGCAGTTGATGAGGACGGAGCGAACCCTTGCCTTAAGCGGATCACACAGGAGCTCCTCTGCAGATGCTAGAGCTTTCTCCATGGCAGACACCGATGCACCTTTCGGACCACAGCACCGACAAGTCACAGTGCCAAGGGGGGCCACACAGAGGCGTGACCCTTATTGACACGGACCTGCACCGTGGAGGTGCACAACCCGCCCTGGGCGCCCGTTCGCCCGAGCCTTCAGGCTTTTGAGCCCCGCAGCTTTTTTACAACTAATTACAACTAATACCGAAGCCAACAAGACCGGAGTGAGTTGCAGGTCAGAGCACCTTGGGGAGCCCATTCTTCTTTAAGTTGGGGTTTAAGCCCCCAATGTGAATGGGACATGGATGTCTCCAGTGTCAGGCTGAGCGCACGCCCATCTATGGGCATTTGCCTCCAAAGTGCTACCGAACCTTTGGACACGTCGGGCTGAGCTCAGAGACGCGACCGACGGGGGCGCGGAGGGGTGAAAGGGGGAAGAACTCTGAATCGTCTCAGCCGGTAACCATTGGCTCTGCGAAAGAAGGCAAAGGGAAGGGTAGTGCCGAAAGGGTTTGGCAAGATTCTATACTAACATCGTGGAAGGTCCAGGACATGCGTGGAACCCGGGGCTATTAGTGGTTTGGCTGCAATAAAAACCCACAAACCGTTGCAGAAAGACGTGGAATTAAGGTATTGATGATGCACTAACTTCGTATAAGCAATTTTTGCTGACCCCCTTTCTCCACACACCCTCCATTTAGCCTTCATCTGCCACTTCAGGGATTTGCTCCAAAAGCGTTCCTGGGTCACCAAAATAGAGAAAGCCGATTGCATGCCATGCATCCATTCTGGGATGATTTGCGATACCTTATATGTACTGTATATACTGTATATACGTAACTGAAATTCATACAGACATCTGAATCTGACGCTGAATGACATGAAACAATTTGAACATTCGTTGAAAGCCCCCATAGCAGTTGCCACTGCGGCTCACGTTGCCTTCTGCGCGTTCCTCTCTCCACCTTCACGTCATTCCGCTGGTCCCCGTGGTGTTCCCCGGGATGTTCACCGCAGTTCCACCACAACCCATCGCTCGCGACTCCGACAGCAGTGAACTGGCCGAGGAACCGTACGAAATTCAATGATGGCCGAGAGTCGCGTGTAGGACAGCGCTGCTCAGTAATGGCTGAGCAGGATGGCATCTGCGCGGTGAAACCGCGCCCCAAACGGGAATGCGAATTGGAAGTGAGAAAGCAACACACCAGAGGCATGGGGCTGGAATGGGTGGACCCCCCCCTTTATTTTATGCAGTCAAATGTTGTAAAGTAGCCCAAAGCATCCCAAAGCCAAAGCCCTGAGCATCCCTTTTTCCCTTTGTGTTTAAATCCCTGTTCATCCCCATCCTACGTTCCGTAGGTTCCCTATCTTTTTCGGGTGCGTTGCCGTCTGGTCCATATCAACACCCCGCCCCCGAGCCCATCCGACAAGGGGGTCGATGCTCAGAGCTGGTGAATTCGCTATATAGTGGAGGTATGGCTTGGATTTCCAGTCATAGTCATAGCCAGACCATGGTAGACTCAAGGGTTGGAAGATTCTCATCAAGCCTTTTTTTTGTGTGGCCACATGTGGCCACGACATGAAGAGCCGTGGGCTACGTTCTTTGGGTGGTGTCGGATTCCAAGGTTCTGCTCGCAAGTTTCAGACCACCAAATCCCAAAGTAGTGGAGTTCCATGGCGCAAAGCATTCGTTGTTGTTAGGAAGGTTTGATTCGCTTCCTCTGAGTTGGGCAACTCTGAGCAACTGCAGCTGTTCCAGATCAGTGTCAAGTGGACTGGGCTTTTGTAGGCAGCAGCCTTAGCTTCCAGGAAGATGGTGGAAGCGGCAGAACTGAAGAACCAGTTGTCAGTTTGGCAAGTTCCCATTCTGTGCATTGCGGGATCATGTGCCACCTTCTCACTAGTAGCTGTTAGTAGCCTTTGTTTTATTTGCACCAGTCACCAGCCTCTGTGAAATTCTAGCACAGATAGATGATTGAAGAGATTGGAGTGGGTGGGCCACTGTTTCAATTACTGTAATCATGTGAACGTTGCCTTTAAGTTAAAACATCTCCGGTAGAACTACCCAAGTCGATCCAAATATATATATATATACATCAAAACTACCCTGGTTGCTCGTCTTTAGTCTCGTCTTTGTGCGAGATGTCGAATGCTTGGATTTGCTTTCCAAAAAAGCACAGTGTGAAACCTGGGTCCTGCCCCTAGTCCGAACAGTTTCAATCTTCATTGTATCCCCTATCTTATGAACTCTTCTTGCTTCGTCACCTCAGGACAAAAAGACCCTGGATGCCAGGGGCAAGATTCCACCACTGAAAACATCACTCGATCCATCTTGGAATCAGCGATTCCTATAGGAGCAAGGACGCTACTAGGGGCTCCTGGCCGTACTACTAGGAGCAAGAAGCTACTAGGAACACGGGCTTGTTACTAGTAGCATTCTTACTAGTAACAAGAAGCAACGATTCCACCCAACGATCTTCGAGCCGACCGCCCCAGGCTTTGGCCCCGTGCCCTCATTTCGGCGTCACGGTGGAGCGCCCCAGGCGCTGTTGGCCCTCCTGCGGACGCCGCAAGGCGAGCCACGACGGGGTGAAGGAAGGAGGCGTGGTTGGTCTAAGACCAGCAATAGCAATAGCCTTCACACTAGTAGCGATGGCGCCTAACCACATTGAGAATTCAGATTCAGATCATTGATATTCATGTAGCAGTTTTGGCTTGCTGTGGGCAAGTTGAATGGGACAATAGAGTTGGCGGCGCCGTGTTGGTTCCACATGGGAGGTTCCAAACGGCAACCAGGGACCCTATGAGTAGCTATTTAATGGTATTTGTGTGTTACAAAAAAGGGGTCACAGACGAATGACTACTACAGACTATAATTGGTTCATATTTCTTTGTGTACGACCTTGGAATCATGGAAGTCATTTCACCCAGTTGCACGTTACGTGGTTTGCTTCAGTGGCGTGCATTATCCCATCGTTGTGGAGCGAGACTCAAGCAGGCCTCGCCAGAGATGGGAACCCCGGAATTCCCGGATGTGCGGGAGCCTGCCGAGACGAGCGGTGTTTGTTTGGATCTTTTGTTTAACACAGACTTAGAAGAACAGAAGAACACAGACTTAGTTTAGCAAAGAAACAGAAGAACACAGACTTAGACGGATGAAATACTTGTTGACGAGTCCAACACAGACCGATGACGTGAAGACGCCAAGGAGACCTTGGATGCCAGTCCGCAGAGGACGGCCCGGTTGCCCCAGACCTTTTAAATTGACGATGCTTGTTTCTAATAGCTTCTTGTTACTACTAGTAAGGCACTTGTTACTAGAAGCGATGCACTTGTTCCTAGTAGCTTCTTGTTTCTAATATTCGCATCAGGCACCAAGTCCACTACTGATGGAGTCCAGGAACCTGTAATCGCAGATTTCAAGAAACTTCGATGCTGCTGTTTTTGTGCTCCTGCACCAGTGAGGGGGCATCCCGAACACTTGCCTTCGCTGAAATCTTGTTGGTCTATTCATGTCTATTCAATGCCTGATACATGGGTCCAATGATACGCGATGTTGTTTTCGTGGATCCGATCTCAGTTCATTAAACAGGGGGCATTCAACATGCAATATGTTCACCAGAACTGATACCATTCACATGGTTTCACACGGCTCTTTTCACGTGGCCGAGGAGTAACGGAGTAGAGCTCGGACCGGTCCCGGGACCGTCCCGTGACCCGAGGTGCTGGGCACATCACCGGGCGTCAGAGGCGACACGGACGGGCCCCGAAACGGGGTCCGAAATGGATGAAGAGAAAACATGGCCATGGGTTTTCCCATCCGAAATTGCAGCGATTCTACTGCCGAAAGACGCAGCATCCCCCTTGCACACTTGGTTCCGCATGTTTCGAATGCATGTGAGATCTTTCGTCGTGACCTGATCGCTTGGTCGTGAAGGGATGCTGATTTTGGAGCTTGGACAGGGCAGACAGCTGACATGTCAAGAAATGGCGCTAAGAACAAACGGTGCATAGTTCGATGTGACGGTATGCGGTTTTGCTTTGAGGATCGAGGAAGTTTCCACCGTCGAGTCCACGGCCAAAACCGACCGATGGGTGTCGAGGCATCGTGTGCACCGTGCAGGTCGAGCTTCCAGACGCACGGCCGAGCCCGAACTGCTGGATGAGGCCCTTGGTGATTGGACTGGGAGAATAGAAGCATATAGAAGCTTTAGAACAATTAGAACATCCGGAGTCTTAATCCGGGAACTTGGCCCACTTGAACTAGAGTAAGAAACTGACAGACCATCCTTATAATTAGAGGAGAAGAAGCTTCCTAAGTAGCTGGCAGTTCCTATGTTGATCCTTTTCCTGTTCGTATGTGCAAGTGTAGAGAGAGAGAGAAAGAGAGATGGATTGAGAGATTAGACTAGACTAGAGTAGATAGTGGACAGTAGACGAGAGAAGATTGATAGATAATGATAATATATCTTATGGGATTGGGCTGGCTTGGGATATATATATATAGATGTATATTGATTATATATATATATGTATATTATATAGATAAGATAAGATTAGTTCGGACTAGATTGGATAGATTGATTGTAGATGCATTATGATCAATTATGATAAATTTGCGTCGAATATCCATGAGGTCACAGGCCTTGTACTGTAGCAGGGAGTCTAACTTGCAAAGGCTTGGATTCATTGGGGAGCTGGATAACCCAGATATGGCACCAAGAAACATTTGACCAGAAAGCTATGGACATCTATGGAGGTATTGTTTCTTGCTCTTCGTTAGCCAATCTTCAGTGGTCACCAATGCAATTTGACATTCCTGTGAGGCCATTCTATCAGACTACTTCGTTTTAGCTTCACGGTTAGGGCTCAGGTGGTCTGTAGGATACACAAAGGCCTCTAATGAGGCAGAAATAGGCAGAAGATGTTGGCTGACAAGTTATGAAGGATTCCCGTGGCGACATGGCTTGGGTTGCCCAGCCTGTTTTCTGCCTCCCACAATCTCCTGTGCAGCTGGAGCCTTCAGCTCTGAGCATCTTTGGAGAATCTACGTGTAGGCTGACAACATTGACCTTGTCCTAGTTTGGGAGACTGTCATTTCAGTTTATTTCAAGAGTTTTCGACAACAGTGGTACCTGGGTTTCAGCAGTTCAAAGTTCTTTAACTTTGAGTCTTGCATCAGTATACCAACAACAGATAACCGTCAGCTTGATCACCGCCAGATACCGCCAGCCTAGCGTACAATTCTCATACCAAAAAATGCCAGCTGTCAATCCTGTTCTCGCAGCTATTGCATTCAAACTCAGAATTTGCCAAAGACGGAGACGACAGAGTCCGGTCGTGTTGCTTATCCCTCATCATCGCATCTTCCCCAGCGCTTGCAAGATGCAGCTTTTGACCCCCACACGACCCCAAAACGGCCCTGCTTTGTCCAACGACCCTGTGTCTGGCGCTAAACGGGCAGGTTCCAGACACAGAGGCATGTCGGAAGGAGAACCTTCCTCCTGTTGGATGCCCCAGATGGTCAAGAGGATTCCGAAGGGGGGCGGGGTGGCGTTTCGTCAAGGCATCCTGGAAGAAACTGCCAGAACCCAGGAACTCTCAAGTGGTTGTCGCAGTTGGTTGAACATCAGGAGATTTGCATTGCGTTTTTCTTCTTAATACTTAATGCTGTGCTATTCGATATGCAGGACGTATTCCTGTACCAAAAATCCAGTGACTCCAGTGTCTTTTTGTTCAGCTCCGTGACGAACATGTTTCTTTGCTAATGCCCAGACATGTTTTGACCCCACCTGTTCAGGATTCCAGAGTTCGGTGTATGAAATCATTTTTTAGAGGTTTGGCAGCATTGGTCGTAATGTCATGATGGAGGCTTCCAGAGACGCAGGCCAGGGTCCTCTCCAGTCAAAACTTTTCCGCTTGAAGTTGATCACTTGCACCATCTGTGCCGGAGGCCGCTGAGCACGAGCTCGAGTTCATCGTGCCGAATGCCACCTCCTACGCCAGTGGGGAGGCTGACTATCAAGCGCCATTCGCTTCCGCAAAAAAGGATTCAGGTCTTCCCATGACTTGCTCTTGGCACGTTTCTTCGTTCGATCCGCCCGTTCCCGGGTGAGTTCAACCCCCCGAGTGTGACACGTCAGACTAAAATAATACTAGTTACTAATCAAGGTGTGGTTTTTTGAAGATTTTGCTGTTTTA